CTTTCATTCTCAATATCTGTCTCATTAAAACCTAACAATTATGAATCATTATTCATTATAGTTAGTTATCAATACCGCCACAAAAGATCACCAAGTGATCCCACACGAAGGGTCACCCAGTGTAGATCTATTTTGTTTTGGCTCTAATGTTACCGATCAATCGAATCTCACATAAGATAGTGATATCGCCAACAAATAACTTATGTGTTTAGTTTCGCTTATTATTTCTAATAATTTTAGTTTATAAAATTATTATATTAAGATACATTTAGCACTTGTGATTTTTGAATTTTGTTTTTTATCTATGTTTGTATCTTATTTGACACTTATGTTAAGTTATATAAACATATTTTTTTTATAAATATTTTTTTTTTCAAATAAGCGCGTAATAGGTACAAGATGGGTATGCGGGTACCCAGAGGATACGGGTACAAGGATTAATATTCATACTCACGTAGATATGGAGTTGGGTATAGTTATTTTTTTAAATCGTGAGTATTGAAATGGGTACTATAATACCTTACTCGTACCCTACCCATTGTCATCCCTACTTGCATGGTCAAAAATATTTTCATATTGTTAGCTAATTGAGTGGTTGAAAATTTTGGATTTTAAATCTCTTTTTAATTTGATGAATCATGGACCTAACTATTGTTTTAAGCATTTTAGCACCTGACTACTATTTCAGTCAATAAAATTTTTTGTTCGTGCAAGGAAATGTGATGTTAAATAATTGATAGTCGTAGTAATTGAATATGAATTAACTATATATTACACCCAGCAGACTTATGCTTAACCAATTTCTCGATTGAAGAAAAGATAAAAGAATGAAGTAATTAAAATATTTTCAATGTGATAACAAATTGTTTATGAATTCTGTAAATGTGAGAAGATACAGGAGATTGCATAAGCATATTTAGAAAAGTCCAAAAAAATGTATTTGTTACGATACCTGCTTATTTCCGGTTATTCTCAGCATAAAGCCATTGTAAATGCTGCTGGTGCTATTGCTGTGGCTCATAAATGTCTAGATTAAATGGCTGATTGTTTGAATTTTAGATAAATATATCCTTAGACTTTGTAATCATTATATTTATTTGTTTATACAAGAATATTACAAAAAATCACATATAAAGTGACTATAATATTTATTATTAAAAATTTTAAAAGTCACCATTAAAATAATTTTGTGACGATATTTAAATTCTTCATCTATTATTACTTATAATTAAGTTATTGTTATATTTGTAACGATATTATGTAATCATTATGCATAATATTTAAAATAATTATTATTTACTATTATTCTCAAAGTAATTATTTATTACTATTAGAAATTATTTTAAATAATATTTTTATAATAATTTTTTTAAAAAAAATTAACATAAAGTGACTATATTATTTGTCATTAAAAGTTTTAAAAGTCGTTGTTAAAGTAATTTTGTGACGATATTTTAATTCATCATCTATCTATCGTCTCAATTTGTCATTTATCGTCACTTATAGTTAAGTCACTTTTGTGACAATATTATATAGTTATTAAAATAAATATTTATTATGATAAAAATTAACTTAACTAATATATATATATATATATATATAAAAGTATTATTGATAAGACAATTTATCACTGTTATGCATAATATTTCATATGATTATTAGTCATTATTATTCTAAAAGTGATGACTAATTTATTCATTACTGTTAGAAATTATTTTAAACAAAATTTTTATAACAAAAAAGTTTTTAAAAATTAATATTTAATTAATAGTTACTTTAAATTAATAATTTATATATTATTACTCAAACTTATATTACTAATGATTTTAATTATTATTCTTTAAAATTAACGTTGTTGTTATATCAAAGCAGTTTTATTATAATAATTATATTTTAAAATAAATATAAATAAAATCATAAATGATAAATTATGAAGTCATGTGTTAAATGATAAATTTAAATATAATAAATATTCAAAGAAAGTTTACACATACAAATTATAAATGAAATTAAAATACATCGTCAACATATTAAAATTTTAAGATAAAAAGAAACACTAATATTGAATTAAATAACTAAAATAGGATAAAAATGATCTCATGGATTCTGATCCTACAAATAAGAAAAAATAAAAATAATATTAATAAATATAAATTGATCAATTAATAAATTATTAAAAATATAATTATATAATAATTAAGTAATAATAATTAAAATAATCAATAAACTTACATGGTAGTTGGAGCACATGAATTATTAAATAGCTTTTTGAATGATAATTTTCTCAATAATATAACATAGTTCATTGATGTTTCATCTACATCTCAAGCTCATTCTTCATTTGTTTTTGTTCAATTAACGTTGAAATTGTAACTCAATTTGAAGTTGAAAACTAATCTCCTGACTCTCCTCTTGTTTTCTTAAAATATTAGTCAATTTTTTTTATTTCTAATTCTAAATTATTTGTTCTCTTTTTATATTCTAAACTTGATTTTGAACTATTTGTTTGTTTATAAATTTTTTGTTATCATTGTACTTTCTAAACTAAGTGAATAATTTAGCTTTCTTTTTAATACAAATGCAAAATGCTCAACCAATGGAGCTTGAGAAATATCTTATTGATATATATCTCTTATATTCTTCAAATCTTTCTGTGAAAAATTAAGATAAATAAAATAAAAATATAAAAAATTAGATCATTTGGAAAAGAAAAATACTAATAAACTTTTTATTTTAACTATCACAAATTTTTAAAATATTTTCTCTTACCATATTTTGGACACCATTTTGAGTACACCATGTTTGATTCATTGTATCTCATTTATGTGTCCTATATTTTTACATAATATCTGCCCATTCATTAGTTTTTAAATTTCCTTCTATTAAAAATAGATAAAAAATAAATGAAAATTTAAAAATAATAAAAATTAATTGATAAATTACTAATATATATATATATATATATATATATATATATATATAAAAGCAATACACATTTCAATTTTTTGTTTATAAAAAATAAGAACAAGTGATACCATTGGTTTTCTTATAATGCATTTCTAGTTTGGATTAAACTATACATACAAAAATAGAAAAAAAGCAAGACATACTTAAATAATAGGAGAACTAAATGATATTAAAATTGCAATGAAAGATATTAATTATAATTTAATAGCATCAACTTAAAAAATATAATTATAATTTAATAATATAAAATCAAAGAATAATTCAAGCTACCAATTATAAATTTTAATGTAAGGTATCAAAATTATCTATTAAAGTTAAAATTACTCATATCTTAGTAATAATTATAAATAAATACTATTTTAAATTACTGATATTATATATAATGCATAAAAAAATTAGAGTTTTGTAAGTTTTTTATTTCTTTTTGTAGGTTAAATAAAAAATTACTCACAATAAAAATTGAAGTGTTTTGATCTTTTAGATTTCTCTTGTAGGTTGAATCAAGAAAAAAAATTCCACAAATTAAAGAAATTTAAAAGAAACAAGACAAATTATAGTTATTTTTGAGTCTCTTTATTTAAGAAAAGAAAAAAGTTTTATGCTTTTCTCACTCTATCGAGAAAATTATTGCTTTAAAAGACATTTTTTTTAAAGAAATCTCCATGGCCGTTGTCTCTTGGTAAAGCATTAAGAGGACCTAGGAACACCACCATCCAAGAAGACAAAAATATACTGGACAGCAAAAGATAACCAATATTAGGGAAGTAAACCAGGAATTAAGGAAAACTGAAATTAATAATCTTCTAATAAATTGCTCAAACAGAGATTCTTCAATAAAATTTACCCTATTCATGCCAATTATATTATGTGTCAAACAAATCCTATGGCCTTCAAAAAATCTATCCTAACTTTATTTATTTTTTATATTTTAAAAAATAATATAATAAATTAATTTTATAATTATGGATTTTGATCAATTTAATTTAAATTTATAAAAAAAATTAATTTATTCCTTAAAATTATCAAATATTAATAATTTTTGTTATTGTTATTTTTCAAAGTTCCTTGTTTTTTAAATTTTAAAAAGAAAATAGTTATTATTTAATAATATTATAAAATATTTTAAAATTTCAAAAACTAAAATAACATTTTGTAATTTTAGAAATGAAATTAATCATTAGGTCGCTGCGTGACAGTGTTGTCTAGGGTTTTATAGCAAGCATGAGCAGTTGTCACCCATAGAGCCTATGAATTTGTGTTTATGTGCTGTAGAAATTTTTTATGTATATCATATCCAAAAATTTAGACTAATAAAAAAACTACGTATTAGGTTAAAAAAATTATTATATATAATTTATTTAAAAATATTATTTATATTATTTATTACATATTATTATTATTATTATATATTATATATTATGTATATTTAATTTCTTATTTTATTTTTTATAAATTTTTAATTTTAAATAAAATATAATTTATATTAAATATATTTAATAATAAATAATTATATTTAAACAAGCTAAAGAACGGTTAAATTTTTAAATAAAAATAAAATCTAATCAAAATTAAATTAACTAAAATTAAAAAATATATTATATTAATATATTTCTATATTCTTAATTCTATTATTAATATTTAATTATTATATTAATATATTATGTTATAATTATTTTTTATTTATAATAAATAAAAATTGCTTAAATATAAATTATATTTTATTTAAAAAAATAAAAAAATTATACTTAAAATTTATAAAAAATTAAATATACAAAAAAATATATATATATATAATAAAATTATATAACAAATAATATAAATAATATAACTTTAAATAAATTATATATAATAATTTTTTTAACTTAACACGTGGCTCATTTTGATCTAAATTTTTTAAGAAAATTTTTAGGTTAGTCACAAAATTTACCTTTTTTTTTTTTCAATCTTAAAAGCACACAGAAGTAAAAATAATAAATGTAAGTTTTAATAAAGAGAGGTTAGTTATAAATAAAATAACATAAGGTATGCTTTGGAGGAAATCTTTCACACCCACAGCACTCGTTTGTTTTTCATTTTTTGAGCCCTTCAACTTTTGGTTGGTAGCTTCGTTGAGAAGTCTTTGGGCCTATGACAGAACATAAATTACTTTATGATTAGATTCACACTTTCAAACCTCTCTTTTTCTGTCATTTTGCTTTGAGACTTTTCAGCATTCCAAAGACTCTGACTGAGAAGAGGAAGAGCCACAGAGAGATTCAGAGCTGTTAGTGAGTTTTCTATTCGCCATTTCAAGGTAATATATTTTACTTCATAAAAACGATATCTTTGTTCACTATATCTTTAGCAATATAACAACTAATCCATGCATCGCAGTATTTTGGAGAGCTACCTAATACTTCTTCACTGTGATACTCAAATAATCTTCTACGGTAGTTTCTTGTAGTTAGATATACTATTTAGTTTAGGTAGTTTCTGACTTTTTCGCGGTGTCATTGACTACCTTTGATGCTTAATTACTTCTATTGTTGTTCTTTATGTTCAATAGTTTCTAAACAGTGTTTTTTATGTCACTGGACATATCAAAAACTTCTTTTGAGATTAATAGTGGAATTTTGGGTATTCCGTAAGATGGTTTTAGATGATACATTCCATTAGGTTTGTTTAAGAGATTAGAAGGAGAAGGAAGTGAAGGCCTTGAAAGATAAGAAAAAGAAGAGAGGGGGGACTCTTTCCTTTTTTGGATTTTTTTATTAAGAGAGAAGAAAAATATAGATTGATTATTAAAAATTATATCTTTATCGTCTTATCTTTTTTATTCATACTTTATTTTGAAACATTGATAAACAATATTTTAAAAAAAAATATATTTCATATTTTTTCTCTCTAAAATAAATATTTTAAATTTCTCTCATCACATTTTTCTTGCTCTTTTTCACTATAAAAATTTAATAAATATTTTAACTCTCTGCTCCATGTTATGCATACACATGAAACAACTATATTTATTGTTCATTCATTTAAAATAAATCTACGAATTACATATGGTCCTTTACAATTTTGTAATTGTAAAGCAATTCTTTGTAAATTAAAAAGCATTTTGTAAAAATATAGGTTCCTGTTCATTTTCAATAAGTAAATAACTTATTGATAATTTTACGAAAACCATTAACTTGACACTACTGAAGAAAGTAAATCATGATTACGAGGAAAGAAAGAATATTATCATTAGGCCCGTCGCACAAAACTAAATTGTTACCTAATAACAATGTCAATATAATCATGTATTCATAACTTATAACAACTATTAGTTAAATTAGTACTTGAAACGTATGCAATACCTAAACCAGAATACTGAGTTCATAGTAAGCTCACATGTAATGCTAATTTCATAAAAAGTCATTCAAGTTTCAACCAATGTCTAAATTCACAAAAAAATAAGAAAGCTCATCATTCTCTCAAATTCCTCTCTCTGCATCCCAACCCTTGGTCATAGACGAGCACACTTCTTCTCAACTGGACAACTAATATTAGAATCTACAATAACAAAAAAACGCTTGACTTAAAAAATAAATTCACAAGTAAAATTAGAACAAAATATCATGTCCCATATATGATGAGGGTGCAATGCAGCAACTGGGCTATGAATTGTGATGGTGAAAAGAGAGATTTTTACTGTGTGATGCCGTTTTGCCATCTCTAATTTTGCAATGCAACTGGCTACATTTCTAGTGTTATCTACAATTTGCAGTGCTCTGGGTGAGTTGTCATCTATCCTAGATCCACGCTTTCCTTTCTAAACTACTAAAATGCCCCTACTTTTGATTCAAACTGCAATACTGCTAACATGCCACCCACTTATGGAGACTTGGTTCTTGTATATTAATGCCAAAACAATTTCATGTAGCATAATTCAGAAAACTATATTTCTTTCAAAAAGGAGTTGTTTGTTGCAGAACTGTTAGAAAACTGAGAACTACATAGTTTCTTGACAAATATTTTCATTCAGAACATTCTTAACGGATGATCGTACAGAAAATAACTTTGATTTCATAATGCTATACATCAGTCAAGGACCAAATCTTCAATCCATGATACTTCTAGTAAGATACATGTGTTACATCTTTAATTTAAACACATTGGATTTTGGTACAGCTTATGAGAAAATCCAAATAGACAAATATTACTTAGCAATGTGTGTCTTTCAAAGCCAACTTAAAAAATACCAGTCTTTCTGTGGCTGCTGTATTTCTCCCAAGTACTGACTTCGTCTTTTTATATTTAATTTCAGTTGTTTGAAAGATCATGGCTAGAAAATGTGAGGGATTTGCAGTGGGAATAGACCTCGGCACAACCTATTCGTGTGTGGCAGTATGGCAAGATCAACATTGTCGAGTGGAGATCATCCACAATGACCAAGGCAACAACACCACACCTTCTTGTGTTGCTTTCACAGACAATCAAAGGTTGATTGGTGATGCTGCTAAAAATCAAGCTGTTATCAATCCAAGGAACACTATCTTTGGTAAATTTTCTTGGCCTTTAGCTAGATGCCGTCTGTCACAAACTAGTGACTAGGAATTCTTAAAACTTTTGCAGATGCCAAGAGATTGATGGGTAGGAAATATAGTGATCTCACTGTTCAGAAAGATAAGATGTTGTGGCCATTTAATGTCATTGCCAGTGTTAATGACAAACCCATGATTGTTGTTGAGTACAAGGGTCAGGAGAAGCACCTTTCAGCTGAAGAAGTATCATCTATGGTCCTCACAAAGATGCGGGAGATTGCGGAGGCATATCTAGAAAAGCCTGTAAAGAGTGCAGTTGTTACTGTGCCTGCTTATTTCAATGATTCTCAGCGTAAAGCCACTATAGATGCTGGTGCTATTGCTGGCCTGAATGTTGTGCGGATAATCAATGAACCCACAGCTGCTGCTATTGCGTATGGCCTTGACAAGAGAGCTAATTGTGTTGGAGAACGAAATATTTTCATCTTTGACCTTGGTGGCGGTACGTTTGATGTGTCTCTGCTCACAATTGAGGGTAAGGTCTTCCAGGTTAAGGCTACTGCCGGAAACACTCATCTTGGAGGGGAGGACATTGATAACAGGATGGTGAATTATTTTGCAGAGGAGATGAAAAGGAAGAACAAAGTGGACATTACTGTGAACCCAAAAGCCCTGAGGAGGTTGAGAAGTGCATGCGAGAGGGCAAAGAGGACACTCTCATATGCTGTTACTGCCAACATTGAGATTGATGCCTTATTTCAGGGCATTGACTTCTGTTCTTCCATTACACGGGCAAGGTTTGAGGAAATAAATATGGAGCTATTTGAAGAGTGCATGGAGATAGTAGATAGGTGTCTATCTGATGCTAAGATGGAGAAGAGTAGTGTGCATGATGTTGTTCTTGTTGGTGGTTCTTCCAGGATTCCCAAAGTGCAGCAACTATTGCAAGAATTTTTCAATGGGAAGGAATTGTGCAAGAGCATCAACCCTGATGAAGCTGTTGCTTATGGTGCTGCTGTGCAGGCTGCTTTGTTGAGTGAAGGCATTAAGAATGCTCCAGACTTGGTGCTGTTGGATGTTACACCTCTGTCTCTTGGTGTAGGAACAGTAGGAGACATCATGAATGTAATAATTCCTAGGAATTCTACCATTCCGATAAGGAAGACGAAAGGACACGAGACCATTATGGATAATCAATCCTCTGTCCTTTTTGAGGTTTATGAAGGTGAGAGATCAAGAGCCAGTGATAACAATTTGTTAGGTTTTTTTACTCTTTCTGGCCTTCCTCTTGCTCCTCGTGGCCATCCGGTACATGTTTGCTTTGATTTAGATGAAAATGGAATCCTAACTGTTTCAGCTGTTGAGAAAACTACTGGCAACAGGAATGAGATTACTATAACCAATGATAAAGAAAGACTTTCAACTAATGAAATTAAAAGAATGATTCAAGAAGCCAAGGATTATGAGGCTGAAGACAAGAAGTTCCTTAGGAAGGCCAAAGCAATGAATGGGTTGGATGATTACATTTACAAGATTAGGAATGTTTTGAAGAACAAAAATATCAATTCAAAGCTTTGTTCACAAGAAAGAGAGGAGATCGATTCTGCAATTGCTAAGGCCACAAATTTAGTTGACAGTAATGACCAGCACGACGATATAAATGTGTTTGAAGATCATCTCAATGAGCTTGTGAGCCTTTTTGACTGCGTTGTGGGCAAGATTGGTTAATTGTTTTCTAGTTGAGATTTATGTGTGATAAAAGCATATCATATCTTAAAATAGTTGGAAGTTTGACAAATTTGTCCTGATGTTTATATCGTTGTTGTGCCTTACTTGAGCACTAAGCATAAGCATAAATATGAGTGAGAAAGCAAGACTATTCAAAGGTAATAGGTTTATGTTATTCCTTCTCTCTCTCATGTTTTAAAAGTAAGAATACTTTATCTTTTAACTACACTTTTCAGTGGCATGAGCAGCTAATTAAGCCAGGCTTATTCAAAGGTTCTTAAGTTTATTTTATTCATTCTCAATCAAAAAAGGTGACTCAAAATACAGTTTTCCTTCATCAAACTTGTTTACTTGCAGTAATAAGTTTGTAATTTCAATTATTTAATTAAATATTATTAAATCTAACGGTCAGAAAACTCAATCCTAGATTAGAAAAAAAATGCTAAAATCCACCTAAAGTAATATAGTGGCTTGTACTAAATTGAGTTAGAATTCTTCTAACTTTATTTGAGACGGAAAAAGAAAAAAGGTACACCTTTGTTCACAGTTTCATGGGAGATGGACCAAATAGGACCTTAGTAGCTTATTTCTATTTGTTCACAAATTCTCCTTTTCTCGGTGACTTCCTTATTATACATACACAATTTGCATAAACACCATAAAAGGTTAATCTTATAATTTTGTTCTTAAAGATTCTTTGTCAAATTTTTTAAAAAAATCATAATTTAAAAATGACTAAATTAAACTTGTTATTGTTTAAATTTAAGGTGAAGTTTTGATTTAGTCTTTTTATTTTTATTTAATTTAATTTTTTATGTTATTTTTTAAGATAAAAAATCATTTAACTTTATTTTTTATTTTAACTTGAGCAAATTTTTTAAAATAATAATATTTTGGATAATAAATTTTTCTTATTTTATAATTTCTACACATTTTACTACTAAATTATCATCTAAGTTTTTTAAATCACAACCAAACAATAATTTTTATTGCCAAAAATCTTTTTAAATATCGACAAATCATTTCTAACCAACTAATCATTTATATTGTTTTATAAATATTTAACAATAACTGTCAACCTATATTTTTTTTTATTAAATATCATATATTTATAATTTTTATTGTTAATAATCTTCATTATGAACTCGTTTTTATACTAAACACCAAAACATCCTCTAAATCAATAAAAATTAAAGTAAACTTAGAGAATTAAATTAAATAAAAACAAAGTTAAATGAAACAAAGATAAAGCTTTCATTCCCCCAAAGGCTACAATGACTTATGGGCTTTTTTAACTGGGCCTAACTGAATGACAAAAAAAAAAACAGTATTACATTTATATTGAAAATTTAAAGAAGAAATTATTTTGTTGACAAAAAAAGAAAGAAGAAATTATTTTTTTATAAATAATTCTGAATCTGGACAAATTAATTACTCTGGACATCTATACTAACACACTCCCATATTATCACTTATTGTTGGATTAACTATATTATCATTCACACATCTTATTAATATTATTATAGATTTTCTTTAAAATATGCTAAACTATATATTTAATTAGTTAACTGTAACAAAATATTTGATTGATAGATTGTAGTAATTTTTATCAAATATTTAATTTATTAAATAAAAATAAATTGTAATTTGTTGGATTGATTCTGTATTCTTTTAAAAATATATATCAAATTACTTGTTTTTTTAATCATCATGATTAATTTCACACAATAAGAAAAAAACCATAACTTCTTTTGAAAATTATGATTTTTTTTAGTAAAGGAAAAAAATATTTTTAAATTTTTATGATTTAAGTCAAGATAATATTTATTTTAACGGTTAAAATTGTAAAATAAAATAAAATCAAACAACAATTGTGGCTTTTTTATTAAACTAAAAAGAAAAGAAAAAAGATAAAACTTTATTTGAAAGACAATATTTGAGACAAGTCAATCGAAAAAAAAATAGTATAAGGCATAAATATTAAGATTTTGTTTTAATTTAAAGCATAAAGGGTTTAAATAGATAAATATTTCTTTCAGTGTTGATTTTAGCGCTAAGCCTTTTATAATCAGATAAGTGGAAATACATTAAAATATTCAGACGTATGTATATTGACAAAAATAATTTTATAATTGAACAGTGCATGTTACATTAACAATATTTATGTATCTTAATTCATAATTAAACATATTATACTGTTTTTTATTTTCATGTTTAAATAACATTACTTCTCTTAAAATCACTATTCATATATACTTTTAATAGAAATTAAGAATGCTTAAAATTAAGTTTGCAGATTCATCAAAACACAGATCTGGGTGGTTTATGGATTTATTCATTTTATTAGATTGCGTGAGATTGAAAAATAATAAATATTTATCCTATGTTTGGAAGAAGACAGAAGATAAAATGTAGTATGGTAGATTCAGCCATAATGTGAAAAAAATTGTTTTTAAGTTTTTGCAAAAGGTTGATTTAGTAAAAGTAAGATGAACCAAATACGTACTAAACTGTATTTAGTATGCTAAATTCAACTTAAGTATAAGAAATATATTATTCATTATTATAGATTCATTTAAGTTAGTCTAATAAAAAATAAGTGCTTATTATTTTTAAATAAACCAAGTTAAATATAAACTAAATAGTCAAATTAGTTAAAGAAAGGTATCGTAGTTGTCATGAATGTGAATTTTGTTTGTCAAATTAATTCTAAATAATTATTACGTTAGTTAAATTAATATTTAAACTCCTTGACTTGAGGACTAATTTGATTCACGAAATACACATCTGAAAAAAATGGACATAATTTTCGTTGTTAAATAATATGAGTATACAAATTGGACCGTATAAATAGAAAATCGATAAATAAAAAGTTTTATTAATCTTAATTTGTAAGATTGATAAAAAAAAAGTAATATTGATCATACTTTTATATCTCTAATGTAATAAACCATTTATTTTTTAATAAATATTTATTATAAATAAATGATGTCAAAAAGTTTTAAAAAAATTTCACTTGAGTAAATTCTAGTAGGAGGAAAAGAGAATGAGAAGTCGCAAAACCATTTAAGCTATGAACATTAGATATATAGATAACAATATCATATTAAAAGCGCACCATGTCAACATGAAGGCTTTCAGACTCCAGTTTTTGAAGTTTTCCAATTTCCACACATAAACACTGTGCACGAGGAGACTCTGTTGTTGGGAAATTAGGAATGATTAATTAAGTCGTGACTTTTGATAAGATAGTAGTAGTATTAATACAATAAATTCAATTTATAGAATCAAGATAGATACACCTAATGCATACAGTTGCAAGTGTTAGCTATTTTTCATGTTACAATGATATAAAAGCCAGCCTGAGAAATTCAACAATATGAGGACTTGGTACATTCTTGAGTTGGTTAATACAATCTTGATTCAGTTGGAAGAGAATGGCCAAAAAAATATGAGGGACATGCAGTAGGAATTGATCTTGGCACTACTTATTCATGTGTGGCAATATGGCAGGATCAAAATAACAGAGCTGAAATCGTACACAACGAACAAGGAAACAGAACAACACCTTCTTCTGTTGCTTTCACGAGTACTCATAGGCTCATTGGGGATGCTGCAAAAAATCAAGCTGCTTCTAACCCTTCCAACACTGTCTTTGGTGATTCATCTTTTCTTTTTGTATGTTTGCTTTTAGCATGACAAATAATTGATCACAGTATTATTTTTAATTTTCCAGATGCAAAGAGGTTGATCGGAAGGAAATACAGTGATCCCGTCATTCAGAATGACGTGAAGCTGTGGCCATTCAATGTGATTGCTGGCAAAGATGACAAACCCATGATTGTTGTTAAGTACAAGGGTGAGGAAAAGGAACTTGCTGCTGAGGAAATCTCAGCTATGATTCTCTCAAAGATGCGTGAGATTGCTGAGGCATTTTTGGGTTCACCTGTGAAGAATGCAGTTGTTACTGTGCCTGCTTATTTCAATGACTCTCAACGTAAAGCTACCAAAGATGCTGGTGCCATTGCTGGCCTCAATGTTATGCGGATAATCAATGAACCCACTGCTGCAGCTCTTGCTTATGGCCTTCAAAAGAAAGGAAGTTTTGTTGTAAAGAGAAATGTTTTTATCTTTGATCTTGGTGGTGGCACTTTTGATGTGTCTCTTCTCACAATTAAGAATGAGACTTTTGAAGTTAAGGCCACCGCAGGAGACACTCATCTTGGAGGAGAGGACTTTGATAACCGAATGGTGAACCATTTTGTGCAAGAGTTCAGGACAAAGAACAAAGTTGACATTAGTGGGAACCCAAGAGCCCTGAGGAGGTTGAGAACTGCATGTGAGAAGGCAAAAAGGACACTTTCATTTGATACTGAGACCACGATTGATGTAGATTCTATAAGTGTTGGTCTTGATCTATGTTTCCCACTCTCTCGTGCAAGGTTTGAGGAGCTAAACATGGACCTATTTAGAAAGTGCATGGACACTGTTGAGAAGTGTCTTAATGATGCCGAGATGGACAAGAGTGAGGTACATGAAGTAGTACTTGTTGGTGGTTCGTCCAGGATTCCCAAAGTGCAAAAACTATTGCAAGATTTCTTTAGTGGGAAGGATCTTTGCAAAGGTATAAACCCTGATGAGGCTGTTGCTTATGGGGCTGCTGTGCAGGCTGCTATGTTGGGTGAAGGCATTAATCTTCTTCACAATTTAGTGCTAATGGATGTTACCCCGCTTTCACTGGGTATATCGACAAAAGGAGATCTCATGAGTGTAGTAATACCTAGGAATACTACCATTCCTACTAAGAAGAAAGAAGTATATTTAACAGCTGCAGATTTTCAATCTGGAGTGTCTATCAGTGTTTATGAGGGTGAGAGGACAAGAGCAAGTGATAATAACTTGCTGGGTTTGTTTAATCTTTCAGTTTCTCTTGCTCCTCGAGGTCTTCCACTAAAGGTAAGTTTTTCTATAGATGCCAATAGTATATTAAACGTCTCTGCTAAGGAAGAAACATCAGGGAATAAGAAAGATATTACTATAAAGAATGAAAGAGGAAGATTGTCAGCGGAAGAAATTGAGAGAATGATTGAAGAAGCTGAGACTTACAAGGTTAACGATATGAAGTACATAAAGAAGGTTAAGGCAATGAATAATTTGGATGATTACCTTTACTATATGAATAAAGTTATGAATGATAAGTTTTTGAGTTCTGTACTTTCCCCACTAGACAAGATGAAGATCAAAGCTGGAATTAAAAAGGGCCAAAATTTGATTGGTGACAAAGATCAGGTTGAAACATTTGAGTTTGTGAACTATTTGAGCCAGCTCGAGAGTGCGTTTGATTCAATTCTGGGCAAGAACAATACTAGTTGGATCTATGATGAAAGTGATGAGGATTATTACTAATAAAACTCTGGAAAATTATTTTATATTCATCAATTTCAGTTTCCTTTTTTGTTTGTTTGATGTAATGTGCCGAATTGGTTTTTTGTATTGAATGAAAAGAAATCTACATGGTCAGAAATATTTTCATATTGTTAGCTAATTGAGTGGTCGAAGATTTAGATTTTGAATCTGTCTTTAATTTGATGAATCATGAACTTAATTATTGTTTTAAGCATTTTAGCACCCTGACTATTACTTCGGTCAAGAATATTTTAGTTCGTGCAAGGAAATGTGATGTTAAATTATTACTAGTACAATTTACATACAGCAGACTTATGCTTAACCAATTTTTCGGTTGAAGAAAAGATAAAAGAACACAGTAATTACAATATTTTTGATGTGATAACAGATTGTTTATGAATTCTAGAACTGTGTGAGAAGAGTTTTAAAAGTGGTGCATCTGTTTAATAGATAAATGCAAGCTCAATACTGGGTACCAAGTTTTCAGCTTAATAACTTAGAAATAAAAATAATGAATGTAACATTAATGAACAGAGCTTAATTTTATATAAAACAATTGAACGTATGCTTTCGAGGAAAACTGACCCACATAGCATTCATTTTTTCTTTTTTTAACTTTTCATCAAAGTTTACTTTAATGTTTTATTAAAAAGACAAAAAAAATAAAGGAAAGACCTCAAGTCAATTGGTAGCTTCGTTGAGAAGTATTTAGGATCAGTACAGGACGATATAACTAATATTTGATTAACCTTATCTCTCATTTTGCACTTTGAGACATTTGAGTATTCCAAAGAAAAATTCAAAGCCGAGTTTTCTATTCTCGAATTCAAGGTAAAGATCCTCAATATATTTCACTCCATAAAACTGTATATGTTTATTCTTTGTATCTTCAGTAATGTTACAACTATTTCATGCATCGCTTATCCAAGTTATGCTGAAAATATTGCCATTTTTGGCAGTAACTACCTTTGATGATTCATTACTTCTATTGTTTATTATTTTGTTTAATGAATTCTAAACATTTTTTCGTATGTCACTGGAGATATCGAAATCTTCTTTTGAGATAATTAGTGGAACTTTGGGTATCATATAAGAAGACTTCAATGTGGTGCGTAGCATTAGTGAATACTGAATACGATCCTCGGCAATTTGAAAAGAAGCTATATAATTGGGCAGTTCTAGATCCCATGACTTACAAATTTTAAAGATTACTATTTAATTATTTTTTCTGAAATAATTATAAAGCTTCATGTCCTTGACAGCACCACGAATATGTGAAAAAGAATAGTTACATTATTTTAAATGAAGTAGTAAGAATTCAAACAAAAATTGCTTCCTTTCGATAGTCAAAGTTATTTAACTTCATAGTGTTTGTTGTTTCTTTTTCTTTTTTCATTAAATTTTCTAGACATTATTCCATATTGTAATTTTATTTGATATTGTTATAAAATTTCGTTTTCGCTCTACATGTATTCGTGCATGCTTTCATCCTCTACAAATATACAAAATGATAGATAGGCTATTTGGGAACCCGAATCATTCTTACGAAAAAAAAAAAATTGACATGCTCTTGGGAGGAAGATAATTTTCAGTATTATTAGAGGAGAAAACTTAAATGCAGTAACATAGCCACTGATAATACTATTCTCTGATCAAAATTGAAATTCCACTTTGGTAATATGTATTGACTTTTAATATTGATGTGCTGACGTTTAATGCAAACTTCTATAATACATATTACTAAGTGAAACTCGATTGGAGAACAACACCAACAATAACTGTGTTGTTGCACTCAAGTTCTATCCTATGTTAAAATGTTAACAATTTATGTTTGCACACTAAAGGCTCACTTTGAGAGGAAGGAAAAGTAGTGAAAGGTTTGTTAGCCTTCCATAGGGTTTATTAAGCATTGCAAGTCTAGTGTACTCAAATTAGAAGGGAGTTTTCAATTAAGTCTTGTCTTCTAAGAAAAACCGTGTAATCAATTTATAAGTCTTGAAGATATATAAATGAAAACCATTTTTTATTTATGAAAACTGAAATGAGTTAATCCATTCTGCTACATAAATTTCTATGGCTGGCTTCAATTCATTTGAACACATTCAACAATCAAGTGAAAGAATGGCCAGACAAAATAAGGAATGGGCTGTAGGAATCGACCTTGGCACAACATATTCATGTGTTGCAGTATGGCAAGAACAACATTGTCGAGTGGAGATCATTCACAACGACCAAGGCAACAGAACCACATCTTCTTGTGTTGCTTTCACTGACAACCAAAGATTGATTGGCGACGCTGCTAAGAATCAGGCTGCCATCAACCCAACCAACACTGTCTTTGGTAATAAATCATTATTCTATTGTTTCTAATTTCATTCAAATGTCTACACGGACTATTTGTGTTGGCTTTCAGCTGAATAAATGATAGTCTAACATTCATCATTTAATTTGTAGCAAAAAGTTTACTTTCGTCTACTTTTCAAATTTGCTCCCTGACTTCATTTTGTGTCAAACTAACACTTTTAAGTTTTTACAAGAATAAATATTTTTCTCAGGGCCACTTTGGATAACATCATTGACGAATTAGCCTTAAATGCTTGCACTAATGAAAATAGGTTTAAGAAAAAAATGTGATAATTTAATAAGTTAAATAAACATTTGGAAAGAAAAGTAATGGAAGGGTAACTTTGAAAATAAAGAGAGAGGATAAAAGAATAGTGTATTCATTTTGCAGATGTGAAAAGGTTAATTGGCAGGAAATATAGTGATCCTATTATTCAGAATGATCTCATGTTGTGGCCATTCAAGGTCATTGCTGGTGAAGATGACAAACCTATGATAGCTGTTTCATACAAGGGTCAAGAGAAGCATATTTCTGCAGAGGAAATCTCATCAATGATCCTTACAAAGATGCGTGAGATTGCAGAGGCATATTTGGAGTCACCGGTAAAGAATGCAGTTGTTACTGTGCCTGCTTATTTCAATGACTCTCAGCGTCAAGCTACCAAAGATGCAGGTGTCATTGCTGGCCTCAATGTTATGCGGATAATCAATGAGCCCACTGCTGCAGCTCTTGCATATGGCCTTAACAAGAGAGCTAATTGTGTTGGAGAGCGGAATATTTTCATCTTTGATCTTGGTGGTGGTACATTTGATGTGTCTCTTCTCACAATTAAGGATGATGTGTTTGAAGTCAAAGCCACTGCTGGTGACACTCACCTTGGAGGAGAGGACTTTGACAACAGAATGGTGAACTACTTTGTACAAGAGTTCAAGAGGAAAAACAAAATGGACATTAGCAAGAACCCAAGAGCCCTTAGGAGGTTGAGAACTGCATGTGAGAGGGCAAAAAGGACACTTTCATTTGATACTAATACTACGATTGATGTAGATTCTATAAGTGATGGTGTTGATCTATGTTTACCACTCTCTCGTGCAAGGTTTGAGGAGCTAAACATGGACCTTTTTAGAAAGTGCATGGACACTGTTGAGAAGTGTCTTAATGATGCCGAGATGGACAAGAGTAAGATACATGAAGTCGTACTTGTTGGTGGTTCTTCTAGGATTCCGAAGGTGCAACAACTATTGCAAGATTTCTTTAATGGGAAGGATCTTTGCAAAGGTATAAACCCGGATGAGGCTGTTGCTTATGGTGCTGCTGTGCAGGCTGCTATGTTGGGTGAAGGCATTAATTTTCTTCCAAATTTGGTGCTAATTGATGTTACCCCGCTTTCACTTGGTACATCGATAAAAGGAGATCTCATGGATGTAGTGATTCCTAGGAATACTACCATTCCTACAAAGAAGGAAAAGGTGTATGTTACAGACGTAGATAACCAATCTTCTGTGGTTATCGATGTTTACGAGGGTGAGAGGACAAGAGCAAGTGATAACAACTTGCTGGGTTTGTTTAATCTTTCAGTTGCTCTTGCTCCTCGAGGTCTTCCACTAAAGGTAAGTTTTTCTATAGATGCCAATGGTATATTAAACGTCTCTGCTAAGGAAGAAACATCAGGCAATATGAAAGATATTACTATAAAGAATGAAAGAGGAAGATTGTCAGCGGAAGAAATTGATAGAATGATTGAGGAAGCTGAGACTTACAAGGCTGATGATATGAAGCACAAAAAGAAGGTTAAGGCAATGAATAATTTGGATGATTACCTTTATGATATGAACAAAGTTATGAAAGATAAATTTTTGAGTTCTGTACTTTCCCCACAAGACAAAATGAAGATCAAAGCTGGAGTTAAAAAGGGCCAAAATTTGCTCGATGACAAAGATCAGGTTGAAACATTCGAGTTTGTGAACTATTTGAGCCAGCTCCAGAGCGCCTTTGATTCAATTCTGGGGAAGAACAATACTGGTTGAACCGAAGATGAAAGTGATTAGGATTATTACTAATAAAACTCTGGAAATTTATTTTATATGCATCAATTTCAGCTTCCTTTCTTGTTCGTTTAATGTAATGTGCCGTAATTGGTTTTTTGTATTGAATGAAAAGAAATCTACATGGTCACAAATATTTTCATATTGTTAGCTAATTGAGTGGTTGAAGATTTGGATTTTGAATCTGTCTTTAATTTGATGAATCATGAACCTAACTATTGTTTTAAGCATGTCAGCACCTGACTATTACTTTAGTTCGTGCAAGAAATGTGGTGTTAAATAGTTGCTAGTTGTAGTAATTGAATATGAATTGACTACAATTTACACACAGTAGACTTATGTTAACCAATTTATCGGTTGAAGAAAAGATTAAAGAGTGAAGTAATTAAAATATTTTCGATGTGATAACAGTTTATGAATTCTAGAACTGTGAGAAGAGAGTTTAAAAGTGGTGCATCTTTTAATAGATAAATACAAGCTCAATACTGGTTACTAAGTATTCAGCTTAATAACTTAGAAAAAAAATAATGAATGTAACTTTAATGAAGAGAGCTTAATTTTATATAAAACAATTCTACGTATGCTTTTTGGAGGAAAACTGTCCCACATCGCATTCATTTTTTCTTTTTTTAAACTTTTCATCAAAGTTTACTTTGATATTTTATTAAAATGACAAAAAAATAAAAAAATAAAAAAAATAAAGGAAAGACCTCAAGTCAATTGGTAGCTTCGTTGAGAAGTATTAGGATGAGCACAGGACGATATAACTAATATTTGATTAACCTTATCTCTCATTTTGCACTTTGAGACATTTGAGTATTCCAAAGAAAAAATTCAAAGCCGAGTTTTCTATTCTCGAATTCAAGGTAGAGATCCTCAATATATTTCACACTATAAAACTCTTATGTTTATTCTTTGTATCTTCAGTAATGTAACAACTATTTCATCCATCGCTTATCAACAAAAGAATCCAAGTTATGATGAAAATATTGCCATTTTTGGCAGTGTCATTAACTACCTTTGATGATGATTGATTACTTCAACTGTTTATTATTTTCTTTAATGAATTCTAAACATTTTTTCGTATGTCACTGGACATATCAAAATCTTCTTTGGAGATAATTAGTGGAACTTTGGGTATCATATAAGAAGACTTCACTGTGGTGCGTAGCATTAGTGAATACTGAATACGATCCTCTGCAATTTAAGAAGAAGCTATATAATTGCGCAGTTCTAGATCCCATGACTTACAAATTTTAAAGATTACTGTTTAACTATTTTTTCTGAAATAAATTATAAAGCTTCATGTCCTTGACAGCACCACGAATATGTGAAAAAAAAAATTGTTGCATTGTTTTAAATGTTGTAAGAATTCTAACAAAAATTGCTTACATTCGATAGTCAAAGTTATTTAACTACATAGTGTTTGTGGTTTCTTTCTTTTTTCTTTTTCTCATTAAATTTTTTAGACATTATTCCATATTGTAATTCTCTTTGATATTGTTACAAAAGTTTGTTTTCGCTCTACATGTATATATTCGTGCATGCTTTCATCCTCCACAAATATACAAAATGATAGATAGGCTATTTGGGAACCCAAATCCTTTTTACGAAAAGAAAAATTAACATGCTCTTGGGAGGAAAATTTTTCAGTATTTTTAAGAACCAAAAGAAGTGTGAGAAGGTGTGAAGCTATATTATATTGAAGGACAAAACTTAACTGCAGTAACATAGACACTGTTAATACTATTCTCTAATCAGAATTGAAATTCCACTTTGGTAATATGTATTGACTTTTAATATTGATGTGCTGACGTTTAATGCAAACTTCTATTATACATATTACTAAGTGAAACTCGATTAGAGAACAAGAACAACAATAACTGTGTTATTGCACTTAAGTTCTATCCTATATTAAAATGTTAACAATTTATGTTTGCACACTAAAAGCTCACTTTGAGAGGAAGGAAAAGTAGTGAAAGGTTATTTAGCCTTCCATAGGGTTTATTAAGCATTGCAAGTCTAGTGACTCAAATTAGAAGGGACTTTTCAATTAAGTCGAGACTTCTAAGAAAGACCATGTAGTGAATTTATAAGTCTTGAAGATATATAATTGAAAACCATTTTTTACTTATGAAAACTGAAATGAGTTCATCCATTCTGGTACTTAACTTTCTATGGCTGGCTTCAATTCATTTGAACACATTCAACAATCAAGTGAAAGAGAATAATGGCTAGACGAAATAAGGAATGGGCCGTAGGAATCAACCTTGGCACAACATATTCGTGTGTTGCAGTATGGCAAAAACAACATTGTCGAGTGGAGATCATTCACAATGATCAAGGCAACAGAACCACATCTTCTTGCCTTGCTTTCACTGACAACCAAAGATTGATTGGCGATGCTGCTAAGATTCAGGCTGCCATCAACCCAACCAACACTGTCTTTGGTAATAAATCATTATTCTATTGTTTCTAAATTCATTCAAATGTCTACACTGATTATTTGTGTTGGCTTTAAGCTGAAAAAATGATAGTCTAACATTCATTAATTAATTTGTAGCAAAAAGCTTACTTTCGTCTAGTTTTCAAATTTGCTCCCTGACTTCATTGTGTCAAACTAACACTTTTAGGATTTTATAAGAATAAATATTTTTCTCAGGGCCACTTTGGATAACATCATTGGCAAATTAGCCTTAAATGCTTGCACTAATGAAAATAGGTTTAAGAAAAAAATGTGATAATTTAATAATTTAAAGAAACATTTGGAAAGAAAAGTAATGGAAGGATAACTTTGAAAAAAAGAGAGAGGATAAAAGAATAGTGTATTCATTCTGCAGATGTGAAAAGGTTAATTGGCAGGAAATATAGTGATCCTATTATTCAGAATGATCTCATGTTGTGGCCATTCAAGGTCATTGCTGGTGAAGATGACAAACCCATGATAGCTGTTTCATACAAGGGTCAAGAGAAGCATATTTCTGCAGAGGAAATCTCATCAATGGTCCTTACAAAAATGCATGAGATTGCAGAGGCATATTTGGAGTCACCAGTAAAGAATGCAATTATTACTGTGCCGTCTTATTTCAATGACTCTCGGCGTCAAACTACCAAAGATGCAGGTGTCATTGATGGCCTCAATGTTATGTGGATAATCAATGAGCCCACTGCTGCAGCTCTTGCATATGGCCTTTACAAGAGAGCTAATTGTGTTGTTCATCTTTGATCTTGGTGGTGGTACATTTGATGTGTCTCTCCTCACAATTAAGAATGATGTGTTTGAAGTCAGGGCCACTGCTGGTAACACTCACCTTGGAGGAGAGGACTTTGACAACAGAATGGTGAACTACTTTGTATAAGAGTTCAAGAGAAAGAACAAAATGGACATTAGTGAGAACCCAAGAGCCCTTGGGAGGTTAAGATCTGCGTGTGAGAGAGCAAAAATGACGCTCTCATATGCTGTTGATACCAACATTGAGGTAGATTCTATATTTGGCAGCATTGACTTCTGTTCAACAATCACTCGTGCAAGATTTGAGGAACTCAACATGGACCTCATCAAAAAGTGTATGGAGACAGTAGATAGGTGTCTTGTTGATTCTAAGATGGACAAGACTAACATACATGATGTTGTGATTGTTGGTGGTTCTAGGATTCCCAAAGTGCAACAGCTATTGCAGGACTACTTCATGGGAAAGGATCTGTGCAAGAGCATTAACCCTGATGAGGCTGTTGCTTATGGAGCAGCAGTACAGGCTGCATTGTTGAGTGAAGGTATTAAGTTTGTTCCAAACTTGGTGCTATTGGATGTTACACCTCTTTCACTTGGCATAGAAACAATGGGAGATCTCATGAGTGTAGTGATTCCTAGGAATACTACCATTCCTGTAAAGAAGAAAGAAATATACAGTACAAGTACAGATTTTCAATCTGCAGTACCAATCAGGGTTTATGAGGGTGAAAGTACAAGAGCCAGTGATAACAATTTGCTGGGTTTGTTTAGTTTTTTTGGTATTCCTGGTGTTCGTTGCAACCATCCTTTCAATGTATACTTTGATATAGATGCTGATGGTATCCTAAATGTCACTGCTGAGGATGAAACCACCGGTGGTAAGAATGAGATTACCATAAACAATGATAAAGGAAGACTGTCAACTCAACAAATTAGGAGAATGATTCAAGAAGCTGAGGGGCTGAAGACCAGAAGTACCAAAAAGAAGTTAAGGCTATGAATGCTTTGGATGATTATGTTTACAAGATAAGGAATGCTATAGAGAATGTTGATTGCAGTTCCAAGCTTCATCCACTAGACAAAATGAAGATCAATTTGGCAATTGCGGAGGCCAGAAATTTGCTTGATGCCAGCCAGCAGACAGAAACAAAGGTGTTTGAGGATTATATAAATATGGTGGAGAGCATTGTTGAACCCATAATGAAGATTAGCTAGTTCGTTTCAAGTTTGTGAGCAAAAACTTTATGAACCACGTCTGAAAATTATTTACTATATGTATGCTTTTAGTTTCCAGAATCGACCCTTGAACGCATTTCTCGTCCATTGCTTGCTAAAATGAGACTAGATATGTCCATATCACTTGAGTACGTAACATCCATCATAAACAATAACATGGCGAAGCCTATATTCGATGCCCAATAGGAACAAGTGAATAATTAAAATATGCGATACATCAATCCTTTTGCTATTCCGAAACAGTTTTTTTTATTAAACACTTCTATTTAAGTTAAACAAAACTAAATTTGATATAATTGACTAGCCAAACTCAAGAAACATTTTGACTTGCATCTTCGTAGTCTGCTTATATAGAAGTCCATGAGTGAGTGAAAGGGTCCATTAAAAGCTACCACTAATATTCATTCTACTGATGATTAACATGAAAAATCTTATTTTATGAGTTTCATTTTTAAATGTCTAATAAGTATACCCAACTTACTATTTGTAACGACTATCAATATCTAATTAGGTT